CCCAGACCCTCCGTCCAGGTTTAGGTAGCCAGGGCATCGCTCCCCACGCCGTGAGGAGTCACGGTGATGTGTGTGGCCGTCGGCAGCAGCCGCAGCATTGAATTCATCACCCAGGCCAACTCTCTTGCTTTCACTGGGAATCACTGCGAAAGGAGCGTCCCCCTTCCCCTGGTTCCCAGTAGGACCAGTTGCCACCTGGCCCTGACGTGCAGCAGTGCAGCCGTGGGCTCTGGTACCAGCTCCCTTGAGCAAAGTGACCTTTGTGTGCTTTACAGGTACATGGCTCCGGAGATACTTGATGATGTGATGAACATGAACATCTTCGAGTCCTTCAAGCGCGCGGACATCTACTCTCTTGGGCTGGTGTACTGGGAGATAGCCCGAAGGTGCTCGGTCGGAGGTGAGGTTTCTGGCCTTTTCCTATTGCAATCCAGACCGCCTTGATCGTAAGTGAAACAAAGTCGACCAACGGATCAGTGTCCCTGCCCCTGCGCCCGCAGTTGTCCTGGCAGGGTGTGGTGGCAGAAGTCTGTTGTGGAGCAGTTGTTCAAGGTGGCCCCGAATGTTCCTCTGTTCTCTCTCCTTGCCTGTAAAACCAGAAAATTGCAGTTGATCCTGGAGCAGCTACATTGGGTTTTGTGTCACCTCCACAATCAATCTTTCCTAGGGATCACTGAGGAGTACCAGCTGCCTTACTATGACGTTGTGCCTTCTGACCCTTCGATAGAAGACATGAAGAGGGTGGTTTGTGAGCAGAAGCTCCGGCCAAACATCCCAAACCAGTGGCAGAGCTGTGAGGTAAAAGCAGTTTTCCAGTTTATTACAAAGCATGTTTAAATGAAGATGGAATGTTTCAGTGGGCCAAAGGGAGCTCCATGTCCAGCCCTTCCTGAATTTAGGTGTGTTTCGGATGTCCGACTCTTTCTCGGCTCCCGGATCAGGACGGAGCAAGCTGCCTTTGCACCAGACTGGCCGGAACGTTGGTCTGGATTTGTGATATTGCTCTTGTGTTGGTGTGTGAGAGCTGTGTTTCATCTTCCAGTATGGCACTTAAAGCCCGAAAAGCAGGGGGGGAGGGTTCTGTTCCTGACCCGTGGCTGTGCTCTCTGCTCGGCAGGCGCTGCGGGTGATGGGCCGGATCATGCGGGAGTGCTGGCACGCCAACGGCGCGGCGCGGCTCACCGCCCTGCGCGTCAAGAAGACCATCTCGCAGCTCTGCGTCCAGGAGGACTCCAAAGCCTGACTGGGCTCCCGGCAGCAGGAGAGGGGAAGGAATTCTGCTGTTCATCTGCTGACATGTGATACTACTTTTATTTTTGGTCTACCTCAGCTAACGCGGCTGAAGGGAGCTAGGCACCAAGCTAACTGCAGAACGGGGCTCAGAGCACCGCGACACTGTAACGGTTCCTTTCCCGTCGGGGTTTTTGTTCTCGTCAAACCCCAAACATCTTAGAAAGAGCTGGTATTGGTTAAAGCCTGTTCGCAAGAGAAACCGCAGGTTTTAGCCTCAAACCAAGGAAGACACCAACTTCAGTCCAGCTTTTTACATATTTTTACGCAGGAATCTGAAAAGGAAACTGTCAGTAAAATGCATTTTTAAATACTATATTTATCTAAGCAGATAAAGATGAAAATTCCACTAGGCATGTGTATTGTGAACAAAAGCATCTAGTCAGTTTTTTATGAACTTTATTTTTATTGTCTTGATTTCATATACAGTATTATAGTTAGGATTTGGAGTTACTTCACTCTGTTCATTGGCTCATTGAATGTATCGATCAAAGGACAATTTTTCTTTTTAACAGTTAGTAGGAAAAAGAAGAGGAGCAATACTTTTCCGATAGATACGTAGGGATGGAATGGGAGAAATTCAACCTAAACTGAGGAAATACATATATTTTTAAAAGACATCTTGCCAATCTCTTGTTGGTAACATTTTTTTAGTGCCTTTTCATGTTTTAGGGGGAAGCTTTAACAAAATTAACTCTCGGAAAGCGGTTGAAACCTGGCGGACAGGTCCGTTTCTCGCCGCGGTGACGTCCCGTGCAGCCCGCCTCGCTGC